GTTGATATCAGGCAGGGAGTGTAAAGGAATCAAGGATTCCTTGTCTGATATTATATATATAGAATTTAGATCAAGAATTTATTTGATTTAATGTATTAACATGAGAATGATTATTTAATTTCATTTAGTTTGTAACGTTGGCTACAGTGACGTTAGAGTTGTACGAACGCCCTACAAAAACGCATTGTTGTGAATCCGCGGAGCCCCTCTAGAGAGCCACGTGAGACGTCTTGTGCTGCGTACTTTTAAATTATTCTTGTTTTATGAAGATTTGGGCTAGCCACACTCTTTTCACCTCACAATCACGTGCACGTTCACGCGTACGTGTATGTTGTCATCTTGCAAGTTGGATACACTGCTCATACCTACCAGCTTGTGAACATGACAATAAAGGTTTAACTGACTGCTAGTGTTTTACTGGAGGCAGTACAATATATATATATATATATATATATATATATATATAAATATATAAATATATATAAATATATATATATATATATATATATATATATATATATACATACACATACATACGTACATACACACACACTCACACACACACTGTTGAATACTGATACCGAATCAAATATCTGTAATCATGAGGGTAGCTGAGAGAAGTAATCAGTTTCTATCAAATATTATTTAACTAAGGTGATTATCACTTGTACCATTGCATAAAGTAAATTCGTTTTCAGTATTTCCAATATTGAAAATGCCGTCCTTATTATCATTGATATTTCTATGTGATAGAATATAATGGTAATAAGGTCAATAATAATAGTGTTTATCATCAATGTTTTGTTATAACAATTCTATTTTTTTCCCATTAAGGCTGTATATTAATTTCTACATGTGTTTTTGTGATGATAGATATTAATGGTTGTACTGTAGCACATCTTAGTATTCTGATTATTATACGGATTTATAACTATTATTGTTGTTATTATTATTACTATTAGTATTATTAGTCATCGTTATTATTATCGTTATCGTTATTGTATTTTTTTGTTATTGTTATTATGGTTGTTATATATTTTCCATTAATATTACCATTATTGTTATCATCACGATTCTTATGATTCTTGTTGCTATCATCATTTTCATTATTATTGCTAAGATCATCATAGATTTCACTGCTACTACCATTTGTTATTATTCATTAGTCGTGTTACTACAATTATCACTTAATCAGCACCACTAACATTATCGCTCTTAACAATTTCTTTAGAGAGACTTCATAAGATATCAAATATTCATATATATTTGTTATTTTCATATCAGTTTTGTCGATTATTCCTAGGAAAGGATTTTGGTCAGTACTTTTCATTTCTCTAATGATAATTGTCCATATTTGTTATCATCTTTATGATTACGATAACTAACACGGGTATTATAATTATCATTATTATTTCTACTACCGTTACTGATGTTATTATTACTGGTTTTATGACTATTACTGCTATTTGTTATTAGTATCGTTATAATTCTTTCAAACATTTCATTGACACACTATAACTGATTTAAGTTTCATATCAAGGTTTACAAAATAACATTATCGTCTTTATTTTTATTGCTTTTTTTCTTCTTACCAACTACAGAAGTATCATTCGGCATTTGGTAACGTCATTTATTATATTATAACCAACGATGTGCGTTCTTAAAGGCAAATTCCTTTCAACCAACATCAGTTTCACATCAATAGCAATTAAGCAAAAAACCTAACATACTTGATGATAATCATAAAAGCCATCGCGGGAGACATGAATTTTGTGATTGCCCTCAAGTAAGCCTTAGATAAAAGGCTCTATTTTGGGGCTTCCGATTCGGTCTTCGTAGATTTCGTGTCGTCGTCCTTCTCTTCGTGGACACAGAACCATGGCATGGCCTCCTGGAGGGCCAGGCGGAACTTGGGGTGCGAGATGGCGAACATCATGGGGTTGTAGACAGAGGCGGTCTTTGCGATGAGGCCGGGCAGGGCGGAGACAAGTGGAGTCACCTTCTCTTGATCACCAAACAGTCCCTGGAAAAAGACAGTTCTCAGGTATTAAACTACGTTCTGGCATTGACCAGTGTTATTGAATGGAAAAAATGACATAATTTTACAAGTTTGAACAGCTACATTTGGTAAATGATGCTGACAATGCAATACTTACAGTCATGACAACGTAGGCATAGGGCGTCCATGTAAGCAGCCACAAGAAGACATTGGCCACTGCCACCTTGGCGATTCGGACTTCAGCGCTTTGCTTCTTGGCGTCGGCGTTGGAGCGGAGGTTTTCCACGTTCATTTTCTTGGCTTGTGCTCGAAGAGCCTTTTCGTGCTGGCGAATGGCGCCCACGATCTGAGCGTACACGAAAATGATGACTGTGAGAGGAATGCAGTAACACATGATGAACAGGAAGAGGCCGTAGGACTTGGTGCTCCAGTCTTGACTGATGTAGTCAAAGCTGCATGAGGTAAGAATGCCTTCGGGAATGTAGGAGTTCCATCCGTAGAAAGGCCAGATTGAAACTGCAATGGAGTATGCCCAACACACAAGAATTATGATGAGAGCCTTCCCAGAGCTGATGTGGCCTCCGTCGAATGCTTTGACGATGACGCAGTAACGGTCATAGCCAATTGCAGCCAGTGTCATGAGGGAAGTCAAGCCAAATATAGCACCTGTGAAGGCATGGAGTTGGCAGGCAAACGCGCCCAGAGACCAGTAGCCTCCGCTGAAGCAGTTCATGACGAACATAGGGAACTGAGACACCATCATCATGAAGTCGCTGAAAGCCAGATTAACGACGAACATGTTTGCAGGAGAACGCAAGCTTTTCTTGCACAGGAACAGGTACATGACGATGCCATTGCCGAAGAAGGAAAGGAAACCAAGAATCATGTAAATACCTGCCAGCAAATAGTGCCACATAGGGTTGACGGGAGGAAAGTTGCTCCAGTGGGGATGAATGAGAGGTTTGACGTCGTCAGGAACCAGATCCATGAGGGTGAAACCCTCTGGGTATCCAAAACTAACACCTCCTCCCCTATAAGCCATAGGGACGGTGACGTTGACAGTGCCAATACTCATCGTGGAGAGTGCAGTGGAGACAGAGATGCCAAGAAGTTCGAGACCAAACAAATGCTGTTCAGAGGCTGGAGTTCGGTCGCAGAGCTTGTTTGCTGGCTTCAGGTCGTCTCCCAGAGCCTCTCGGTTGGGAAGTGCGAGGGTAAGCACCGCGCTTCTCCTTATATACGCCTTCAGTCTGTTAAGAAGTGTGTTAAGTGGAAACTTCTTAAGACGCTTTTATGTAAGCATCTTATTTTTAGATGCTAACTAAAGACCTATACGTAATGAACGGAAATACCTTTAATCACATATACTGAACAAATGCATACATACACAGTAGCACGTAATGATATTGTTTCCAATTATCTTTACTAAAACCTCACATGTTTATATAGTTTTTCTTAAGCATATACCCTTGTCAATATCATTGAGAGCAGCAAATGCCAGGAAAACTATTTTTATAGTTCTTGATATTTTTCATCGGTGATATTACTACGTCTCCATTTTATCTATAATAAACGTAATGGTAACACGACGTTACTTTTGGTATTATTATTAACATTACTTAAAGCTACAATTAAAGTTTTAAGCTGCCGTGTTATTGTGTTTCTTTAATTTCTTTATGAAATTTTCGAAAATGAGAGTATATTATTATATTATTTTATCATAATAAGATTCCTTTTGTTGATGCTCTTATTACCATTACAAATATTAAGATCATTATTGTTCTTATACTTTTGCATCATTATTACTACCATCATCAGCATTATTATTTTTTTTATTGGAATTAATGTTCTTGCTATAATCTTCGACATCATTAACGTTGTTTTCTCTAATATTATTATTTTGAAATTGATTAAGGAGATACACATTTCTCCATCACCTGTAATGAACATGAGCAATTTTTTCCCTATTAGCATTTACTATTACTATTAGCATAGTTAATGTAGTCCTATTAACTGTATATTCCATTTGAGGCTTCACTAGTTTATATTGGTATTGTAGTTGTCATTTTTATCACCGTCGTGGTCATCATCGTCTTCATTATTATTTTTATCATCATTATCGTTGCCACTTAGTCTATTATCATGATATTATTAGACATTCTTCTTTTTATTATTGTTATTATTATCATTAATGTTATTCATAGCATTATCCTTACGGTCGTTATAATAATAATAAAATTTATCATTATTATTATTATTATCATCATTTTAGCTCATTATTTTTATTATTAATATTATAGCTATGATGATAATAACAATGATGATGTTATTTACTATTGTTATTAATAGTTTTGGTATTCATATGAATACTATCATTTATTATTAAAGTCATTGCATTTGGTAGATCGTTGTTATTAAAATTGAAATTTATTTTTACATCCATCATCATTTATAACTACTACAAGTATTATTATCAGTTACATTTTGCTTAGCATATTGTTCTTATTGTTCTAAAAATTGGATCACGTTTAACATCAGTATTACTGCTATGATGAATATGCTAAAAGAATTTCGTGTATTGATATTTTTGGTCTTGCTGGCAATGATTATAAGCTGAACTATATTTAGACTGCCATCAATCAAATTATCATTGTGATTTGTCCAAAGAAGTTGCATAAGACTGTATAATTACGACAGCTTTCAGGATTACAGGCAACTGTCATTACTGTTGGTATTATATTCATTGCTCTTGTAGCATCGATTTCCATTGTGTTTGCATTGCGAACATTATAATTGCAGTTTGTAATATTTTTACTTCTCGTTAAACCATTGCTATTTTCATTGTTCCCAGCGCCATTAGAAATGCACATACTTTATAATGTAAAATAAGGCTTTAGGTAAACATTTGGATCAGGTTCGAATTCATTTTCAAAACCACTTTTTGTAATTGAAAGGGTTTGCGAGGATTCACATATTCCGATTGATACGTACATGATTTTTT